ATAATAATTATATAAGAAGTTAATATTATTATAATAGATTTAAGATAAATTAAAAGAAGCTAATAGTAAAGTATAATAATATATTCTCTTAAAAAGCTAAATTAACCTTTATAATAGTATAAGTTAAAGTTAAATAAAAGAAAAAGAAAAAAGATAATATTCTCTTAAAATTAAATATAACTTTATTAAAAAGCTATTATTAGAAATTCTTATTAAAATATTAAGATATTCAATATATAAAAACTTAATTTACTTATTTATATTAAGTTAATTTTTACTTAAAAAAAAGTAAATTAATAGACGGTTAGTATTACTTTAATATTAGAAGAACCTTTCTTAATAACTAGTTTCTAGAGGGTAAGCATTAAATATTCCTGCGAAGTTATAACAGGATAACCGTATAAAATAGCCTCACAACTCGATAGCTGGATAAAGGACGCTTGGTTGTAGAAAGTCTATTAGAAGAATTCTGTCTCTATAGTAACGCCGTAGCTTCATGTGCAACACGGGAGGTATATACAGACGACACATAGCTCTTAGATTCCGTACTCACATCGCTCCATCAAAGTTAAAGGTGCCACACAGAAATGTTGAGATCCGTTAGTTATTGTGAGGGAACAAGTTATTAATAATGCTTTGCCAAGTATAACTATACAGAAACGAAATACATTAATGTACTCCTGCTAAAAATATTGCGGCCGCTTGAGCAAATTTAGTTTGTACAGCTGCACCCTACAAGGTGAGAAAGTCCCTTCCATCTACCAGCCCTTGAAATGGTATCCATTGAAAGTTCCCATGAGGAAGAATTCATCCCAGCCGAATATTTCCACGTCCTCGCTCGGCTTTACACATGCCCGCTAAGGATATTACTATAGGTTAGCAACATCCTGTGAAGTGTGGCGGCGCTTAAGCATCGCCTGGCTGACCGACTTTTTCTGCTGCCGCTCGCAAGCAAGGTTAAGTCGGAGCGACTCGGGAAGTTCGGTAGCCAGCATGTTGCGGCGGGTGGTTCGGGGAGAAAAGGCCGTGGGGAAGTTAACGTGAGCAGCGTGGGTCGTGATGGGTTGAGCGCTAGATTAGGGGATTTCGTTAATTGGCTTAAGTGTAGAGTGTCACATGCCCTTTATCACCAGCCGGGTTCCGTTAAAGTCATTGGGTGAAGCTCCCAGACTCGGTCCATTAGGCGCCGCTTGGGTTCGGCGGATAGCAGGAGTAGACCGCGAAGCTCGATCGCCGAGTGTCCTGGCGCACTCGTTCTGAGCAAGCATGAGCGTAATTAGCGACGGGCGGGAGGTGAGGTTGGCTTTAGACTTAACGCGCTGGAAGAACTTATCGTTAACACTAGATTTACCGCTATCTTCCGTGGAGTCATCCCAGTCAGAAGAGTCGTCATCGATGGCACTCTCGTCAACATATTCGGCTTCGGTGTCTGAGTCAACGGCAGACTCGCTCTGCTGTAGAGCCTGGGCTGTCAAGTTGCTGATGCTAGTGTTGGGAGGGGCAGAGTGGCCAGAGCTCTTGCGAAAATCTTCTCTTAACGGTCTGCAAGCTTGGAATATCGGCTTATTACCGACGGCAGCGGAAGTAGCCTTAATGTTCTCGATACCCTAGCTTTGTTCACTTGAAGAGCAAGACCCACCGAGGGCGAAGCGAGCGAGCTGCTTAGGCTGCACAGGCTTGGGTGCTGGTGAAGAGCTCGGTTCGGGCAAGGAATCTTGGGACGAGGCCTCAGAAGCTGGTCCCGACTGATGAAGTACTTGACTCTCAGTGCCATCCGGTGATAGTGAAGGAGTATAGGAATTATCAGGGACCTGCTCTAGGGACTGCTCTTTGGTACCGATCGATCCTGGTGTTCTGAGCCTCTGGCCTTTTATTCGTGTACGACCCTCAGGGGATCGTGATACGGAGGTGAAGCCAACAGTCTCGGTGTCGGTCAAAGAGCCACCGGTCAAAGATCCGACGCTATGAGACAGCCCAGGAACTTCCCCATTTCTCGTTTCCGCACAATTCTTATTCGGGATGGTATACGAAGGCAAGTTGGCGATTGCGGTTGAAGTAGCAGGCTTCTTAATCGCTCTCTCAAGGGTTTGCGCTGTTTTCCAGAGACGCCAGGCCCGGTTTTCTAGTCTTCTACCCTGCTCTACAGAATCTGCACAACGGGAAATGACTATTGAGCATATCGGTCAGCATTGTGATGGCGCGGTTGGCCTGTGATAAAAGAGGACTTACTCGCCCATATGGTATACAAAGTGATGGGATTAGCAGAATCCAATGTATCTAGGACATTAGTATCTAACTTGAGGGCGTACGAGTCGTGCAAGTATAAATTATTAAACATCGCTGCCATTGTGCTGCTCGATGCTGTTAGCAATGGTCGCCAGTTGCGTTATTGGTGAGAGCTACTATAAACGACTCTAGCAAGCGAGAAAAGTCATACGCAGTCGGGACCACTGACAGTGTATTCAATGGAAGAGCTTTAGTGCAAGACGCCAAACACGACGGACTGTTCGGGATGGAGGCGATGGTCGACGTAATGATCTTCAATGAAGGCAAGCGATGCAGCAGAAGACGGGCTTACAAAAGCGACATACAACAGCCAGGCGGACAAGCTGGTATTCTGGGCTGTTCCCCAGAGGCTAGGCACGTTGTCGGTGGTTTTGACTTTACTTATACAACGAAGTGCTGTCGTCGTTGTTACGCGTACGTCCAACATACCTGTACTACGTAGATATATCGGATCGAGTAGCGGGCGATACAGCTCATTAACTCCTGGTCACACCGCGTACACACCACTCCGCCCTCTTTGGGTATGGTCTGTTACGGGGGTGCTGGCTAATGAGTGATCCAGCGTTCCGTGGCGTCTGAAGAAAAGCAAGATGGTCATGCAGCCGGGGGCACTAACTCGGCGGCCCGAGGCCTATTCTTGATTGTGGGGGAGACGAGATCATCGCGCACTTACCATGCACGATTGATTAGGCGACTTGCTTACGCCACAATCATCAGCTCGGAATTGCCATTGACTATTTTGGAAGTGTGGGGCAAACCAGAGGAGCCCCCGAGCACATGCATCCCTTTGAGTGTGCGCAGGTGCCATTTTGGTAACGACTAAGGATGTTAACCAATTAAAGACATGAGATTAAAAGATACTTAAGTCACCTAAGAATATATATGGTAAATAAAGTGCCTTATATACTAAAAGTTACAAGCATATAAGTGGCTACCCTATTATGAACGATGTACTTAGCAAGTACTAGAGAAAAGTGGAGTATATACATAACAGGCACCTGCGCACACTCAAAGGGATATCCCTGTCGCTGTTGACCCACACCTGCCGTCCCTTCGGCTGCGCGGAATCATCCCCATGGAAGGGCCACAGCCAACATACCACCCCCATCGACGCTTGTTATTAACGCCACCACAAACACCTTCAAAAGCTGAAAAGTGGGGGCGTGGCGTGAGTATCTAATCTTAAGCCCCACTCAAGTCGAGGTAGGATTCTGGCGCGAAGTCCCTGATCGGACTTCCTTCTTTCCCCGACACTTACTTCATTTACCTCCGCCCAAGTAATTCTGTATCACCTTAAATATAAGTCTATTCGGAGCTTAAGATCCTTTGTTAGCAGCCCAGGCCCAGATCGATATAAAGCAGAACGAGTTGCAAAAGGCGAAAACTCAGAAACAGATTCTAAAATGTTTCTAAAACACAATTAGCGAAATTGCTAGGTCTAACATAGACGCCGCGCTTAAGAGATTAACGGTTTCGGCAATTACTATTAATAAGCGGTTAATTGCTTAAGGCGCTTATCTATTTTACTTAGGGCGCTTAATACTCTACCACGCTTTAATTTTAATTTAATAGCTTTAATTTTAAACCTTATAGTATATTTTTAATTTAAAGGTATAATAATAAATACTTTTAATTAAATAATAAAATGCTTATATA